GCGGGAGTTCGTGAGTTCAAATCCGGCCGGACCAACACTCAGGGTCTTAAAATAACTGAGAAGAAAGTGCTGCCTTTGTAATAATATCTGCAAATGATTAGACTTTCTAGTCTTCTCGGATAGGGACGATAAATCGAGGTCCCGTCTCATAAGCCCGGGGACCCTTTGGGTACGGCTAATCAAGGAGCTGGATTAACCCCTATGTGACCGCTCTAAACCGATCAGATGTCTAGGAATATTAATTTGTGACGTGTACGATGGTCTTTTTGTTTATATAAATTTGCATATAACGTCACAGAATACGATTGTGATACAAATTTCGCGTCAAAAATAAACAAACAAAAACAGTTTTTAAGCACAGTGGGCACACATGGGGAGGCTAGTTATTAGTTTACAAAACTCATGGGGGAATGGAAAAAACATTTGACAAAAAGCATATCACATAGATCCATCCACTCTCAGCTGAGCATTTATCTCATATATGTCCTTGAAAATTTTAGGACAAACCAATATTGGCCTTGTCGTCACCGAGGCAGATGTGTCTGAGGTAGAAGAGGACTGTGCCTTATCATAAGGAAGGTAGTCATGTTTCATAGGACATTCATCCACCGAGGGTGGGCCAATCATATTTTGAACATTTCATCGACATCAACCGAGACAGATAGCGCAAGTAAATTCGATGAGTACCTGGTCTCCAATTGTTGAATTTTCCACCACAAGATGTTTAGGTGCTTTGCCTTTACCTTTGCCTTTGCCTTTCTTTTTCTTATTCGGGTGAAAACGTATACTCTACGATTTTCGTTGTTTCAAAATAAGAAGCCATAGAGTAAAGAAGGCATTTTGATAAATAACTCGTATCGCTATCTTGGCGGCTTTAAAAAAGCCAAAAAATTCCGTGAAGCTCACCTTAAAATTGCTTAAGAGGTCGGGAGCAAGATTGAAAACGCAATGCGTGTTATTTCCTTGGCGGTACCTTTGAATGCCTTAATTCTTTACAAAAGGCTGTGGACTGTTACAAAAAAACCTCATTCTTCATTCAGTTCGATTGCAGCGGAGCCTTACGGAAACCATTGCTAGAACAGTATCGTTTTTAATCGATAGTTCATCCCCAGGATTAGTGGGCGAGGTTTATTCGATACACACGGTGTATTGGAAATGTATACATGCCTCATTGACCAAGCACGACGTCAAGACGACTGGATATTAGCCGAGTTCCTTTTTTGTATCTTTATGGACCTCGACTTGTCTCAGTCCATAAAAAACGCAATAAAAGAACGAGGCTAATATCCAGCCTTATTACACGACTTCGGAAGTCAGAGGGCCAATAACTAAAATCAACCAATCAAAATGCTCTATTGCCGGTCAATATTCTCTCAGTATTAGACCGGGCACTGTCCCGAATGGTCCCGAATGGTCCCGAATGATACCGCACTTGTGTCCCTTTGAACTTCAGTCGTGTTTATTAACCAAGCTTGCTCAGGACCGCACTGGAAGAATATCGGCCCTCGGTCTTTTTTGTATGGACCTCGCTGCGCTCGGCCCATACTGTCAAGACCTCGGGCCGATATTCTCCCAGTACAGCCCTCGCGCTTGGTTAATAAGATATATATCTTGACCGAACAAGCTTGGTCAATAAAGGATTTCTTAAACAGCAAAAAGATTTCGCTTTAATCATAAGAGTCAATAATGGCGAGGATCGTTTATGTTTTTTTTTTGTTTGTTTGTTTTGACTGTCTACTGCCGATTTTTGCGACTTCATCG